GTTAACAGGCTGTTACGAGTATAATTTCATTCGAGACCTATCTGCTAACTTCGTGGTTTTTTGTATTGCTGTCACTTTATGCAGAGACAACATGCTGAACAGTACAACGTAATTTTTTTCAGCCTTTTCAGGTTTGTTAAAAGGGATTTTTTATGCTGGAAATCTTAAAATCTACTGTGCTCCTTCCATGAAAAATTGTCTTGAAACAAAATACTATTGACTACTCTGAAACAGCCGAGCGTAGCCGGATATGCAAGCTAGTTCTATATAAAGCGTTTATTTCATGAGTCGATCACGTGTTGCTTATAATCAAAATATGTGGATTGAGGAGATAGGGCTTACGAACAAAGAGCCCACAAAATGATAGTCTCTCTGTCTTACGTGTATAATGTATGCGACACAACAACATTGTTAGAATCCTAAACAGGAGCTCAAAAATTAGTAATGCATAATAGAATGATGACATACAAATGGCGCGACGAAGATAACAAAAGATATAAGATAAAGAAGAAAAATAGATGCCACCAACGAGTCCAGAATGATGGTGCGCTACTTCAACATAGAAGACTACTTTCTTCTTACGTGTGCTATGTATGCAAGAAGAAGGGCATTGTTAGAACCATATGTTGTGAGGGATTAAATTTGGAATGTCAAATGGAAAATGGAGAGAAGATGGAATGTGATGAATATAAAAAAGATATTGAAAAAGAAGACAATTACTACCAGCAAATCCAGATTAGTAATTAGTGAATGTGGGATTCCAGGTAGAAATACAGGTTAGCATGAAGTAATATTTGGATTCGTCCTAGCTAATGGATTGTATTCAACGACTTGTGAAATGAGTTGGATGTTTTGATTTAGAAACTGATATTATATCAACCGCGGCATAGATTGCTCTTACCTTGTTTTAAGTGATATTGGTGATCCCTGTTAGGGTACAGCAGCACGTTGCACTGCGTTTGCCAATCACAAGCTAAGCCGCAAAGTCCTATGATTATTGCCATATCCCATTCTCCATATGTATCAAGCAAGGCAATTTTAAGCAAACCGCTGAAACCTTCGATCGTGCTATGTTCAAGATTGCCCTATATAAAAAACATCTATAATTTGATGAGCTTTTCTTTTTGTCTGGTCGTACGAACATATGCAATGTTTATTCATAAGTTTGTCACTAGTAAGAATAGCGAGTTAAGAAGGCCGGGCTTATGAACAAATAGTCTACCACAAGGTGAACTCTTTGAGTTCTTTGCGTTCATGTGCTGTGGATGCATGAATAAAGTCATCACTTATTATAACTGGAGGTGGGCAACACTTTGCCGAATGGCAATGGTGGTATATGAGCGCTATTTTTGGCAGCCTCTACCCGGTGTCCACCCTATGAAGCGGTGAAAGGCTGAGTCGAAGTATCCTTCTGCTTTGCGCGTCT